TAAGTTAATGTCCTCTTAAAATTTTAGAAGTTCGTCCTATAACATAAAATCATGCATCCGTCTCTATCTAGAACTATTAATCTTATGGAAAATAAATTAGAATATTTGAATTGATCTACATAATGATATCAATTACATAAACTTTTTTAATAGTCCGTGATGATTACAATATAATATTTATTCACAATTTTCCTTAATCGTTGACAATACATACCTTACATATACAACTACTCGAACTCATAACCTCAATAAAAAAAACTCTCTTTAATCACCACAACTATTAAATGAATTATAATTAGATGTACTTTTAAATGAATGATATTAGAGCAAGTTGAACACCTACTGATATTATTATTATTAAAAATAATTTTATTAGTCTTAAAAGTTGTTTAAACTAGAATAAGAAAACATTATAGACTAATAAAAATGATTTATTCTCTTTGTTGCATATGATGTCAAATTGTCCCCTTGCAAACTTGTATCGCCATAAATGTCTATATAATATGTTAATTTGACCAAGCTTTGGATGCCTAAATGGCCAGCCCAATCTAGTAACAGTGGCTAATGGGTCAGATTTAGTTTTGATTTTTTTTCTGATTTTATATATTTTAAATTTGAATTTAATTTATTTTTTATTTTGGATGGTGTTCTATTTAATTTTAATTTAAACCACGTAATTTATATTAATTAAAAAATTATCAATATTTGCTGGCTACGATAACGATTTCTAGTGTAAAAAATTATTATTATTTACTACTAAGACTGAAATCAATCAACAAAATTGGGGGAGAAGAATTTGAATCTTACATTTTTACTCTTTTGAGAAGAAAACACGTATAGTATGACCAAATCATTGATTAATTAAGTTCATTTATTGATTAAAAATGTTAGATATTTTCCATTGACAATTCAAATATATTTCGCCGTATACGGCATGACACTGTCCTACTTAATATTTCTACCCACTGTTTTATTATTTTCCAACTTTGACATTCAATTAATCCAACTTCTTATCTTCAGTTCGTTACTTTCCATCCAGGGATGGACCGAGGAGGCTTTGAGATGTGGTCGCACCACTTAAAAATTTTAAATTTCTTTATATATTAAGTATTTTTTCTATTTTATATGAATTATTTAGTTTCACACCTCTGAGATTTTATAATATCTTATCCCTGAATTTTTAATATATTTTTTTTATGTTTGCACCCTCTACCGTAAATTCCTGCATCCACCCCTACATCCATATGAGTTGTACATTTTTAATTGAAAAATATTATAAATTTGATTAATTTGATTTAGAATTGATTTTTTTAAATGTACAATATAAATGGATCTAATTTAAAATTATTATTTATAGAATAATTTGGTTTTATTTAGGTTTAATTGTATAAATGAAATAAATATATTATTAATAATTTAGATATAAAGAAACTTTAATCCAATCATAATTTGAATATTTTTATTGTCACTTAGATTGTTTTATCTAACTTTAAATCTTAAATAATTATTAATTTATTTCAGTCGTTTAAGTATTCTCGTACTCTTTAATTAGGTTGGGTTTGAATTCACCTGTTGTTAGGGCTGTTCATTCGGTTAATTCGGTGGTCGAACCGACCGAACTATCATTAACCGAATTAACCGAACTTTTTTTTCTTTAACCGTTAACCGAACCGAACTTTTTTATGAAAGTATTAACCGAACCGAATAAATTTCGGTTAATTTTTGAATTAACCGAAATTTTTTTAGAATTTTAGAATTTAATATTTTTTTTAATTAAAAAAACAGTTTACAATATCTAATTAATTTGATTCAAACATTATATTAAAATAAGATATTTATATCTATCAATTTAGTTAAAAAAACAACAACAATACTGTAGTTCTACAAAATAAATCAGAACTAAGTGCAGAACTGGAAGCATAATTCAGTCTGATACAAACATTTTACACTAACAATTTACAATATTGCAGTTCTATAAAATAAATCAGAACTAAGTTGTTGGCTGATGTTACCATTCCAACCAAGATGTTCTCTATCAAGTGCAGAACATATTACCTGCACAGTGCACAATATAGAAATAAAGAGATGCAAAATTCAGTTCGAACCATCAAAAACAATAAAAACAATCAAATGTATAAATATCAAATATATCTATCAAGTATCAATCAATGTTAAAATTATAAGTGCTAAGCTAACTCAATCTAATGTAATACGATCTTATTTAGTAAACATCATCACTTCAAGCTAATGAATTTAAAAGGAATGTAAGGGACAAAATTACCACAAAAAAACAGTATTCAAAATACTCCATTTGCACCAATTGAATCCTCCCAAAAAGTTTTCAATTGCATTATCTCTACAAGAAAAATATATTATTTTAAAACTAAAAATACAGTATAAAAACCATATATATAACCTCCAAAGTACATTGCAATAATGCAATTTACAATTAATGCATACTCTTCAACTCATACTCACAATGCTACCAGTGCAGAATCTTATGAGCTTATGAATTGAGAGTAGGTTGTAATGCATTCCAAGATAAATCTAAAAGTTAAAATGATTAAATCAATTAATGTTGTGTCAATTCTCCTCAAAATAAATTAACTTATTAAATTAAAATTAATAAATAAAGAATCAACATACCATTATCAATCTTGTCAAGCTCTTGAATTTGTTCTTCAAACTTCTTGATCTCCTCTTCGGTTGATGACTTTTTAATATAATCTTGAGTACACACAAGAGCTTGTACCATTTTAGGAGTTAAAGAACTCCTAAATTGATCAAGCACACGTCCACTGGTACTAAATGCAGACTCTGAAGCGATGGTAGAAAGCGGTATAGCTAATACATCTTTGGCCATATTTGACAGAACTGGAAATCTAGGGCTATTGACTTTCCACCATGACAAGATATCAAATTCATCATCTTAATTCTCAACAGCCTCCCCTATATATTTATCTAATTCAGATGTTTGATCCTCACCACCACTTTCAATCATACGCTTTTTATACAAATCTTTCATGCGTCTTTTCACTTTTTGTTGTGGTTCACTTATAGAAATTCTCACATTTAAATGGTTGTCATCACTAGAGACTCGAGGCTTATACTCATCATATAATTCATTCAAAGTCTCTTTCAGCTTTTGCATCACTTTAAAACTTTTTTCCGAATCATACATCTCACTAAGTGCAAATTCAAGATAACTTAATTTCTGCCTAGGATCTAACACACAACCAACAAAAACCGAGTAACTATTGCAAAATTTATATATGAATTTAAAATACTAATTATTCTCACAGTTGGCGGATATTGAACTAGCAAGCAAGCATATAGCAGTCTTCAATAGCTTAAAAGCCAATAGCAATGCAATTAAGGCAGTACAGAGTGAGATCAACATAGATGATGTCGAGTGGTTTAAATCCCAAACGGGTAACCTAATTTAGTGCAAACAAGAAATGTCGAAAATAGGTGGCGCCTTACATACCCGGACACTGGAAACGTTAATAATAAAGTCTAAATCAATTTATGGGTAAAGATCTAACCCAGCAAAAACACTTTAAGACAAGGTACACGATTTTGTTCTTCATTCCTAGAAAATCTCTCACTGATTTGAACATTAAAAAACGTTTGGCAACAAAGCCTCTCACGCTTTTAAATTTTGTATCGTTTTGCAAGTACAACTAATAGATAGGAAAAAATCATGTAAATTCCATAAAACATTAAACAAATGAAGAAAAGAACAAAAATCTCAAACACAGAACAGAAACGATATCAAATCACAAACCCTAAATCAAGCAAGTAATTAAAATTTTTAGGGGTAAGTAAACTAATCAAAGAGAAAATCTGGAATTTTTAAGTTAGGAAGCTAACCTGAATCGAGCGAGCAGAGATTAGAGAGAGATAGATAGAGAGAGAGAATGAATGTTTGATGAAAGCTCGGGGGGTCACTGTTGTCATTTTCTCTTACATTAACTACAAAAGGCTTGAAACAACAATTACATTAACTACAATGTAAGATATATACATAATGTTATAACCCATATCATAAATGTAGATTTTGGCCAAGTGTTTTAGACACATCCAATCCTCCCTTTAGATTATAGGTTTAATTTATTTTTAACTTATTTTTTCCCCAATTATATGGTTAAATTTAAGAAAAAATTCCTCCGATAAGTGACATGTGTCATCATTTTATTGAAATAATATATTTATTAAATTTTACTTAAATTAAGATAAATTGATAAAAATGTGTAAATAATAATGACTAAAAGTATAATTATATTAATTTTATAAACCATCACCAAAGTTTTTATGTCAAATGTTAATTATATGTAAGGATTGCAACGGGTCGGGTTGGGTTTTCGATCAACCTGACCCGACCATAATAATATATTTACTCCACTCTAACTTGGCCCAAATAATATATACTCTCCACCTGATCCTACTCGAAAAATTTTTACCCTCCACCTAATCTGACCCAAAAAATATATATCATCCACTCGACTCTGACCTTACTAGAATTTTTAGAGTATAAATACAACATGTAACGATATAAAATAAGCACTTAATTAGAAAAATAATAGAGAGATGGGGTCGGGTCGAAGTTTTTCATCCTCCACTTGAACTCGACTCGACCCAAACCTGATTTTTTTTAAATTCGATCCTACAAATCGGGTAGGATCAAAATCTATCGGTTTTGAGTTAAATTATCATCCCTAATTATATGTGACTTAATTGATATCATTTGAATAATTGAATAGTATGATTGATAAAATTAAAAGTTTAACAGTCAAATTAAAATCTCCTAAAGTTAAGTGGTTGTGGGTTTAATTTAACAAATTATATATGGGAACATGATTTACGCCTGTTTTATTTCAGCTAAAGTGGAATAAATAATAAAAACAGTTTCTCTGGTTGTGGCCGCCACCAAAATTTTCATATCGATGTTATATTCAATGAAATGGTTTTACTTCTATCGCTCTGGTATAGCACATCGCTTGGTCAACGCCTGCTGAGCAGAGCACCGGCAACCAAGAATTAAAAACAAATAAACAAAAACCATATGCAAACGCATATTCCGCCATTGTTGTCAACAAGGTCTCCATTGTTAACTTCTTTTCTCCATCTCTAATGGGATCCTTCTTCTTCGTCTTCTTCTTTATCATCTCTTTCCTTAATTCCTATCCCTTTTCTGTCTCTGGTGCTTCTTTTTCTGAATTTATCTACCCAAACTTCACTGCTTCACACTTTAGTTTCGTTGACAACAATGGCGCCTTCTTGTTCTCCCGCAATGGAACATTCAAAGCATCCATCTACAATCCCGAAACTCAGGAAACCAACTTTTACTTATGCGTCATACATGTCGAATCCAACACCATCATCTGGTCAGCCAATCGTGATTCTCCGATCACCAGCTCCGGTGAAATGGATCTTACCATGGCAGGAATTAGTGTTACTGATTCAGATGGTGATTTCAAATGGTCAACCCCACAGTTACAAGCCACAGTCCTCGCACTAACGCTGACTGATATGGGGAATCTTGTTTTGCTTGATCAATCCAATGGCTCTCTTTGGGAAAGCTTCCATTATCCGACGGATACGATTTTGATCGGACAACGTCTCTTGATCGGGGCGAATCTGTCAAGTGCTGTCTCGGGAAGTAACTTGTCGACCGGCGACTACAGATTCGTTGTGACTGGTTCTGATGCATTATTGCAATGGCATCAACAGAAGTATTGGCAACTGTCGATGGATACCAAGGCTTATATTAACTTGAACTATGTTGTCGACTACATGGCAATAAACGAAACAGGACTTTATCTCTTTGGTCGGAACGGATCGGTTGTTGTAATCTTGCTTAACTTGTCGACGACCAGCTTTCGGATTGCCAAGTTGGGTATTTCAGGTCAGTTTTCTGTAAGCAGTTTTTCTAGTGGCAAATGGGTTCAGGAATTTGTTGGCCCCATTGATGGTTGTCAAATTCCAACCAGTTGTCACAAAATGGGATTATGCTCCGCTTCTTCAACCTCGAATGCCCCCGAATGTTCATGTCCCTCTGGTTTTCATTCTGCTTCACAAAATATTAGTGGTTGTTTGCCAAATAATCTCTCTTTTCTCTGCCAACTGCATGTGATTCAACCAATAATGTCACTGTTACCAAGTCAAATTCTTCAGACATTTCATATATGAAACTAGGCTCTGGCATGGAGTATTTTTCTCTTATTTTCTCTCAGCCTGAAATATACGGTGTAAACTATTCAGTTTGTCAAGATTTATGCTCGGGGAACTGTGCCTGCTTGGGAATTTTCTACGAAAATTCTTCTGGTTCTTGTTATGTGCTTGAAAATGAATTAGGCTCCGTTATTTTAAGCAATACCGTTGAAGATGATCTTCAAGGGTATATTAAAGTGCTCGTTGGACCTACAACAGATTCCAATGGCGGAAATGGTGATAGCAAAAGTTTCCCCACGGCTGCCATTGTGCTCTTACCTTTTACCGGTATTTTCCTCTTAGCTGCTCTGGGTTTCCTCTGGTGGAAAAGATGGAAATTCAACGAATCTGAAGAGAGAAAATTAGGCCACCAAAACTCTTTTGATTCAGATGATCTCGACGACTTCCGCATTCCAGGTTTGCCCCAGAAGTACAATTACAAAGAACTCGAATTAGCCACCGAGAGTTTCAAGACCCAAATCGGAGCAGGTGGCTTCGGTGCTGTATACAAAGGCACACTCCCTGATAAAACTGTTGTGGCGGTCAAGAAGATAACGAATCCAAGCAATCAAGGGAAAAAGGAGTTCTGCACTGAAATTGCAGTAATAGGAAACATTCACCATGTCAATTTGGTTAAACTGAGAGGATTTTGTGCCCACGGGAGACAAAGGTTTTTGGTGTACGAGTATATGGACCGAGGCTCATTGGATAGACCCCTCTTCGGCAATGGTCCGGCCTTGGAATGGCAAGAGAGGTTCGATATAGCACTTGGCACCGCTCGTGGCCTCGCGTACTTGCACGGTGGTTGCGAGCATAAGATCATTCATTGCGACGTTAAACCAGAAAATATCCTCTTGCACGATCATTTCCAGGCGAAGATCTCCGATTTCGGGCTCTCAAAGCTTCTAACACCGGAACAATCCAGTCTCTTCACAACAATGAGAGGCACTCGAGGCTATCTTGCACCCGAATGGCTTACAAACTCCGCCATTTCCGAAAAAACCGACGTTTATAGTTTTGGGATGGTACTGCTTGAACTGGTGAGGGGTAGGAAAAACTGCTCCATTAGATCAAACAGCCATACAAGCAATGAAATCAACAGCGGTGGAGCCAACAACTCCTCGTCATCTGTAATTGGATTGTTTTATTTTCCACTGTTTGCACTTGAGATGCATGAACAAGGCAGATACTTGGAGCTCGCAGATCCGAGACTCGAGGGGCGAGTAAGCAACAAAGAAGTGGAGAAATTAGTACGGATCGCTTTGTGTTGCGTTCATGAAGAGCCTGCACTCCGGCCGAGTATGGCCACCGTCGTTGGGATGTTGGAAGGTGGGCTTCCTTTACCTCAGCCGAGAGTTGAATCGTTGATATTTTTGAGGTTTTATGGCCGCAGATTTACAGAAGCTTCCATGGTGGACGAGGAAAATAGGCGAAGTGATGATCAGTTGATGTTATATCAAGAAGAAAATGGCACACGTAGTAGCATTGTTACAACTGGTTCAGATACTTGCTTTTCTTTTATGTCTTCACAGCAAATCTCAGGCCCCAGATAATCTGTAAATGGTTTTCAAACTTTAGTTACTGTTGCATAAACAATATTGTATATGTTTGAAAAACAAGAGAAAACCGTAGTGTAGGGGGCTGGCTGTATTTAGTTCGGCTTTTTGTACAAGTGTTTGCTTCAGAAGTTATTAAGAAATTATATGTTCATTTTGCCATCCACTAGTACTTATATTATATAAAAAATCATTTTAACCCTTTTATTATAAATGTTTATAGTCTTATACATTTGGAAAATTAAATATTAAAACTATAGCTGGGTAAAATAAAAATTATATAATTTTCATGTTTTTTTATGATTTTAATGAAATTTTATTTTTATAAGTTTATATCATCTTTTTCAATTAAATTTTCACTCTAATTCTAAATCTAAAAAACATAATTAAATTTAGTTCTTTCTATTAATAATTTATTCTTTTATTTATTCTTTTATAAAATTTTAATTAAATTTTATCCAGTTAAGAATTCAATAAACTTAAAATTAGACCCATAATTTAGGACATTTAATCTAAATTAGTCCTTTTGTAAATAAAATTGTTTTACACGTGGCGACCACGAATGATTTCCCATAGGTATATCGAATCATAACAAAACACATATACATTAAACGACCACGAAGAGACATTTAAAAATCTCCAATCGGTGCTCCGCATTCATCTGCATAATTTTCCTGTTTCTGGAGAAGACGACCCTGGAATTTTCCTCATGGCTTACGTCGAAGGAGGTTTGGTTCCTTTCTCTGTTCTTTCTCGAATTTTATTTTTTAAGTTTCAATATGGTTTCTGTGATAAGATCTTGTAGTTTCAATTCGAAATTTATTGCCGATATTTAATATTTTTTCTGATGTTATAAGATTTCTTTTTGGTTATTGAAATTTAACATTGTAGGAATCCTAATTAGCTATGGGGAATTAAAAGGAATGAATTTGACATATTTATGTTACCGGGTGATTGTCGGTCGTTATCTATTGCGAGTTTATGCAAATTGGGGTTTTAGTCTGTGGATCGGCGATGCTTTTTTTTTTATGGGGATTCGTTTAGTTTGGAACAATGTTGAATTTATAACCCTTTTAACATATGAATTCAAACGAGGTATTCTTCTCTTTATGCGGCCATGAAACAGCTATAGCCTAGTTTGGCATTGTCGTAGGGTTCGTGGGGAACTCCGGTTAAAAAAAGCCCCTTTTTAAGCTGACATTTAAAATTAATTTTGATTAGAAATATGAACCTATGTAACATTCTGGTTGCAGTCCAGATGAACCTGAAACCACGGGTTTTTACCAAATCAGGCAACGCACTTACTATAGTGTTCAGAAGTGCTTTTCATTGGGATCAGCATAGTTCATTCCCAAAAAACTTTGTATGGATTTGCAAAATTCCTCTAATGATTACCTGTTAAATTTTAAAGGTTCAACTCTTTAATCTTGTAGAGCCTGTTAAACTTCCCTTTCTCCAATTATAGGTTTGATATCTGCAGCCTGTTATTTCCTAATTTCTAATGCTATTTCAAATTGAAAAGCTCTGTATGTTCTTCCCTATGTAGCCCGTGAGTGTATATGCGTGTCTTTGTATCATAAATCCAAAAGAGGATGCGGTTTTGTTGATTACCTGTCTTTGCTTGATTGATTGTGGGATTGCTGCTGATGTTCTTAACTTTGCATAGAGTTTATGGATGACAACAATTGTGTTGCATTCCTAATTGCATTTTTAATACACCATATTGCATTTGTGATGAAAACACGGCCTTTTCATTACTTTGGTATAGTGTTTTTTGTCATTGAGACTTCTCTCTTAATAATTGGGTATCATTTCGTCATGCATGCTTGTTTAGGCATTGTGAAATCACAGCGATCAATATGGCGACTGAGAACCATCCCCGATTTTTTCTGGGCGATCATCAATTTCATTGGAGTGTTCTTCTCAACCATGTTCTCGGTAAGATTTTTATTTTTATTTTGGTCATTGGCCATTGTTTAAGTTCTCTTTTCATTGCCATTATACTGTTAATCTATATCAATCAACCGGGAACTTGACTGTTGGGTGTGCATCAGATGGAAAAGTCGGATGCCTATAGAAAAGGTATTGGTTCAAGCAAGAAATGGGATGGTGGTCCAGGTGGACCTGGAAGTGGACCATATGGTGGCGGCGGCGGCGGTCCACGACGACCACCACGTGGACTAGACAATGTTCGGGGGATTGACCATAGTAAGTGGTTGTATGTTATTTGACATCTCAGCTTTCCTCTATAAATTTAATCGTTCGCTAAAAGATTTTTCTTTCTGGTACTACATTTCAGGTTCCCTTCCTGCCTGTGGTTCTTGCTGCGGTGGCTAAATGCAGCAGCGTATTCCTTGTGCATACACGGTTATTATCTGATGACCTCTTATTTTGAGTAAGTACATTCTAAATTTCTAATGTTAATAGATTGCCTGGGAAACAGATAATTCTAAACCTCTATATACCAGTGATGCTTGTATGTACTTTCAAACTTATTGGAATAATTCATGTTTCATGATGATTTGGCTTTTTCATTAATTCTCTCAACTACTTGTAACTTTCCATGACTGGCCTGTAATATTGATTTTGATGCTTCATTAAAGCCACAAACTAAATGGCATGCCCTATAAATAATGAACTGGCATATGGTAGATCTTTGGCATAGGAAAAAGTAATGTTACATTTTAAGTTCGGATAGACTACACATATAACTTAACGTGGGAGGATTCTAAATGATCAATAAGATCATTTAATTATTTAAGCGATGCTAATTAAATAACTTGTTATTAACATTTAACATTTGATGGAAGAGATAGTTGATATGATTGGTATGATTAAACATTTGATCCACATTACTTAAATATTCTCTTAATTCAATTAAAAAAAATTTAAATCTTCTAATCAAATCTCTTTAATTCAATTAAAAAAAAATTAAATCCTCTAATCAAGTGGTGATATGGGTTATAACTCATGTGATCACTTGAGTGAATATCAGGTGGTGATGTGAGTAATCAATTATGTATTTGAATGGAGAGTGATCGATACTAGGATAATGTTTTAAAGGATGTAAATATTTTCCATTTATATATTTAAAGGATGTAAATACTTGCAGATCTTATATAAATATATGAAGGCAAAAGCATTTAAGGAAAAACAAAGAGAAATCATATAGTACGGTCTACCTCTCTGATAATTTTATGGTTGAAAATAAATTTTACAAATAGCATTTGTTTATTGAGAAAATAACTTCAGTGATCAAAAATACCTTATAATATACGATTTTAATCAACTTTTTTTGGATTTGCCAAAATGATCAACTAAATCGCAATGCGATCGATAATTCGCAACACGATCTCCGGTATCGCAAATCAGTTTCCAGATTCGCAACGCGATTCTAACTATCGCATTGCGATTTTCTAAATTCGCGTTGCGACTTTCTTAATTCGCAATGCGAATACATAAATCGCAATGCGAATACGTAAATCGCAATGCGAATACGTAAATCGCAATGCGAATACGTAAATCGCAATGCGAATACGTAAATCGTAATGTAAATACGTAAATCGCAATGCGAATACGTAAATCGCAATGCGAATACGTAAATCGCAACGCGAATCTGACTATCGCAATGCGATTTACATAGCGTCATTCGTATCCAACGCGTTTTTTTTTTCAAATTCCAAACACGAATATATTAATATATCAGAACACTGAACCGTCCACATTATATCCCGTAATCGCAACTCATAACCTAAAACTCTAAATCACAACTCAGTCTCATCTCCATCTCTCACTCTCTAAGGTGACATCCGTCCCCATCTCCGACGAAATCAGTCCCCATCTCCGACGATATCAGTCTTCATCTCCGGCGAAATCATTCACGGTCAGAAATGGAAAATCAACCAAATCAACCACCGAGGGTTAGTTTTTTTAATTATTTTTATTTTGAAATTTTTGCATTATTATTAGGTTTTTCATATTGAAATTGATGATAAGTTTACTGGTGTTTTCAATAATAGATTAACCATTTCACATAGATTGCTTATTATATTCATTCGATTGCTGCCAATACTGTTAAACTGTTTAGTCTTTAATCCTGTGAAGTTAGTATTTGTCTTTGTTTTTTCTTTTGGTTGAAGTAATGCAATCCATTCAAGTTTCTTTCAATTTTAGTATTTGAAACCGAGAATGACTATCGCAATGCGATTCTGTCGTTGCGATTTTCATTTCACGTTGTGATAGTCAAATTCGCGTTGCGATAGTCATTTTTCGTGTTGCGATTTTAAGTTTCAGAAACTATTCTTCTTCTGCAAATTGAAACTTGAATGAATTGCATTACTTCAACCAAAAAACAAAGACAAATACTAAATTCACAGTGTTGCAAATTTAAGTATGAAGAATAAACTACTACTCTTTATGTTTATTGTTCTTGTTATATCTTCACAGTGTAGTTTTTGGTATATCTAACTTGGTATTTTTATTATTTTTGCAGAACTTTTATTCGGCTCAATTGACCTTAAGAAATAAAGTAAGCCTGGCCAAAACAATTGCGTCGAATCTTTCACCTGCACAAAGAAAAATATTTGAGGATACTTGCTTCGGTCCATGGCTGAAAGTACAACATCCGGGTGGAGATGTTATGTTGACCCATCTGTTTCTTCAAACCATGACTAGCGATCTACCATAGACTATACAACGTCGTGATGAAGAGATATGATTTGATTTTCCACCGGCGTATACGTGTTTTGGGCGGGAGGAGTTTTTCTGAATCATCGGTCTACGCTTCGGACACGATGATGTAGATCGGTACACTAGACATATTACCCGCCTATCATGGTTTTCTCGGATTTTTCCTGAACTGTCAACGGAGAAGTCGAATTTACACGTGGAAGACTTGACGAGATTATTGAATAAGAAAGATGGTTTTACTCGGATGGATGACGTCGATATTGTCCGAGTATGCCTTCTAAAACTTTTGTAAGTCGGCTTTTTAGGCAGAGAGGCCCGACAACATATTCCTAATAATCTAATTAAATTGATAGAGGACCTAAATACATGGAACATGTTTCCGTGGGGTTCGTATCTATGGAAAGCTAAATGGAATAAGTTGTCGTCTTCCTTTGATGATCGGAAAAGTTTACGTGGCGATGGTTCCAAATACACTTTGTCAGGCTTTATTTGGGCCTTTAAGGTAATAATTTTTATATAATGTTTCCAAAATTATAATTAATTCTTTAACAATTACTAATGTTTGTTATTATATTGTTTGTAGATTTGGATATTTAAGGCCTTTCCCGCCATGCAGAAATATGCATTAAAAACTTCTAATGATATTCCTAGGGCTATTTCCTAGAAGAAGAAACGGTCCTTGCAGCAATGGGAAGATTTACTACCGTATACTACAATAAATAATGTAAATTAACAAAAATACTACCATATGTTTATAAACAAGTTATTACTAGTACACGTTTAACTTTGTTCGAGCTTTTATATTGTTAGGAGGCCAACATTCTATTACAGAGGCTGACACCCACGGAAGCTGAGCTTGTCACTGATTGGTGGCAAGCTAGTAAGCGTTTTTTTGATGGCACGGATGATGAGCAGCCACCACTTCGAGAGCCATCACCTCACCCAGAGCCATCACCTGATCGACCCGAATATACACCTCCACAACGAGAGTCATCACCTATTCTGTCACATCATCGAGCATCTTCTCCACCATCACCTCATGATAGGCGACCGGCAAAGATGCCATGACGTTTATCTCCCTGTTCTTCACCTCCACCTCCATCTCCACGGGATGAGTTAGGGGAGTTACGTAATGAGGTCAATGCCTTGCGTGAGGAGGTCGGTACTTTATGCGATGACAATGGTGCATAGCGTGTTGAGGTGCCTACTTTACGTGGTGAGGTAGCAGCTCTACGTGAGATTATAGCATCGTTGCAGAACGAGGTTCATACTCTACGCAATGAGGTAAGTTTAATATTTTTCATATTTAACTTGATGATAAATTTACTCGTAATTTCACTTAGATTGCTTAGTAAATTCATTCGGTTGCTGCCAATACTGTTTAACTGTTTATTCTTTAACTCTGTGAAGTTAGTATTTATTTTTTGTTGTCTTTTGGTTGAAGTAATGCAATCCATTCAAGTTTCAATTTGCAGAAGAAGAATAGTTTACTATCGCAATGCGAAAATGACTATCGCAACGAGAGAATCGCAATGCGAAATGAAAATCGCAACAACAAAATCGCAACGCAAAAATGACTATCGCAATACGAATTTGACTATCGCAACGAAAGAATCGCAATGTGAAATGAAAATCCCATTGCGATTCTCTCGTTGCGATAGTCAAATTCACATTGCGATAATCAAATTCGCATTGCGATAGTCATTTTCGCGTTGCGATAGTCATTTTCGCGTTGCGATAGTCATTTTCGCGTTGCGATTTTAAGTTTCAGATTTTATTCTTCTTCTGCAAATTGAAACTTGAATGAATTGCATTACTTCAACCAAAAGACAAAAACTAACTTCACAGTGTTGAAAATTTAAGTTTCAAGAATAAACTACTACTCTTTATGTTGTCATTGAACGGCACTAAACATATATGTTGTCTTTTTAAATGTTTATATAAGTGCTTACTTCTGGAATGTTATCTGATGCATTTTGTGAACAATGATATAATAATGACTTGGGTGAATACCGTGCAAGTTTGAAATATATTTGTCTTTGTTTTCACTGTTTAATATCATGTCTAATATCATGTCTAATATCATGTTTGTTTATTTACTGATTTATGTATTAATTTATTTTTAGCGGCCCGCTAAGGTGGATGCTTAACGTCGGGTTTTTCTTGCAAGACGGAGTTCACGCATCAGACGGTGTGCATGCCATTACGTCTCCGTTCACCCCAACAGTGCGAAGAATCGTAAGAAAAAGTCCGACTCACCTGTCATCGTTCAAAGGCATCACCTATCGTTCAAGAGGCCCCTATCATCCCTCAAGAGTCCCTTCCCACCGTTCAAGAGGCCACTGTCATCGTTGAAGAGGTCCCTCCCAACATTCTAGAGCCCGATTCATACGGCGTAATATATCAAATTATTGAGAAGTCCCCCTCACGTACCGGACATGATGGATGACTGTTGGCTTTCGTATAACTTACCGGCCAGTACCATTCCGGCAGATGAAATGGAGAGGAAACAACTACCGAAAACAATTCTTGATAATACCCTTTGGGCTAAGACCGCAGTTGATTTTTATCTACATGAGCGGAGCCAAGGGTGTTACGCTGACATATACAAACTCAACGATGATATGCATTTGTTGATTGAACGGTCTTGGTGGGGTGTATTATTAGAAGTTGAAGACAACGGTTATTTCGATGGGGGGTAAGTCTTATATTTCTTCTTATATTTCAGTTATATTAATTTTTTTTAAAATTTATGTAATTTACTAATATATGTCTTTTTGTAAAAACATATTGATGCATGAGTGACACGTCTAATTGTAAGGAA